ATTCCTCTTCAATTTGTCATTCCCGGCATAGTAAACCATGTGGTTGTCAGATTCAAAATGGCCAATACCAGTCCATTTTAGATCACTAATGCCTAAGAGATCAATGTTTATGCGTTGCATTTCATTTGACAACCTCCAATTTTCCCAGATTCATACTTCGTATATTCCATGTTCTGATTTTCAATGGATGTTTACTGCTGTTTCTCTTCATCTTGAGTTGTGCCCCATCAGCAAATGAAGGTCCTGTGGGCTTTACTCCATTCACATCATCACAGTCAACTCTTACTTTCAGGAGGCAGCTCTTCCCCAGTCTCATTTTGAATGCCTTCCAACCTGAAGGGCTCATTTTCTGGCACTATATCTGTCACTGTTTCTCTGCTATTCATATGGTTTTCAGTGACTAAATATTCAGAAGTAGTTTGTCACTCCTTCTTCCTAGTCTGTGTTCACCTCATCTGAAACCTGTCCACCATGGGTGACCCTGTTGGTATTTAAAATACTGGTGGCATAGCTTTCAGAATTACAGCAACTCACAAGCCACCACAGTACGACAACCTGACAGACGAGTGGTAGAGTGACCTTTTAGGACAGTATAAAACTACTCTATAGCTTTTCTTACACTGTAAATCTTTACAAGAGTAGACAGCCTCATCTTTCTCCTGTGGAGTAGCTGGTAGGTTTGAACCACCAACCTTGTGGTTAGTAGTCCATCATTTAACCTACAGCACCCACCAGGACTCCTGTATGCACACCTATTCCTCATTTATAGACTTTCTCCTTATATGACGTTTTGCAGTCTTTTACAATAGTAAAAAATCTACCATCCAACTATTTTGCCCATTAATGATACATGTCTGTCAGTAATGAAAGCTGAGGTGTGAGGAGAAAGTAATGCTGGTTATGATGGTTAAGGACATGTGTCAGCTTAACTTAGTCACAATTCTCCGTGATCTGGTAGTTATTTTTCCATGAACTTTTTTGTCATTATACTCCATTTTGGGATCTAATCTGGTCATCCTATAATTTGGAACCTAACTATGTTGATAAGCAAGGAATATATATATATATAATAAAAGGAGTGTATATATATAATGAGGAGGCTTAAAAAGTTTGTGGGCAATGGAATTACTAGATGACAGAATTTTTCTACAAACTTTAAAAAAACCCTCTCAAATATATTATACTTGAGCAATGTCTTTGGCTTTAAGGGAAACTTCATACTGCAGTCTGAGATGACTCCAGATAGAATGGTAGGAAGAGACAGGAAGGACACTAACTAGGGACCTGCCTTTACTCCCAAGGTTAACATCAAACACTGGTTGCAATTATGTTAAGTAAATTAACTTATCTGTTCCTATCTATATTACAAGCATTTCATGAAATACTAAATATTCACCATATTTCAATTAAAAAAAAAATCAGTAATAGAAAGACAACCCTTTAGACATCTGTGAATAGATCTAAAATCAGTGCCATTCTCAGTGACAAATAATGAAAGCTATTTACATATAGTATTTATACAATTATCACTTACTCCTTTTAATAAATGTTATCTCACCTTCTTTAGATTCTTTATTTTTTTGTCTATCTCAGGATCTCCAGAAGTTGGCTGAGGGGCAGTATTTCGTGGTGTGTGCTGTGTGACAGGAGCAGGTGCCGTATCTGGACTCTTGTCACTTCTTGCTTCCTATAGGAAAAAAAAATTCTTAAATGAAGTTTTCTAAAATGAAATATTAAAGTATTTCAACTTTACAGTTTTGGTGTATAAAGTGCAAAAACCAAACATGTGATTTTATCTTTTACACTCCACTGTATATATATAAAAAAATATGAATGGAAGGTTTTAAGAAATTATGTAGCATGTACCAATAATCAACAGATAAAATTCAGCTTAAAAATATCCACATTATAATGAGACATCCAAAAACCGTATACCAAAAGGTATAACTGTCCTGAGGAACACTTTGCTTGATCTAGAATTAAAAGTGGTAGAATAAGTAATAACATTTAAAAAATATATTGGTAATATAATAAAATGACTCATGCCTTTTAGTCTGCTATTTTATTACTAATGTATTTTTAATTGTTATTTCTTATTCTATCACTTTAAATTCTGTTTCACTTAAATATTTTAAGATATATAATATGGCTTTTAAGGTCTTAAATTGTTGAAGATTACTAATTTATAATCCAGAGGACAACATTAACAAAAAACATGTTCTGTGGCACTGTGGGTTAATGTGCTAGACTTCAGTGTTGGTTTGAACTACAAGGTCTGTGGTTCAAGCTCATCAGCCACTCCTAGGAAATCCTATACAGGTTCGCTATGGGTCAGAACAGACTCGACGGCACTTAACAGCAACCACTACAATACTTAAAAGGGATTCCTGGTGTAGCGTTGTAGGATAAGCACTGGACTTTTAAGGTCAAGTAGTTCAAGCCCACCAGTTCCTTGGAAACTTTATACAGGGTCACTTTGAGTATGAACTGACTCAATGGCATTTAACAACAACAGTACTTAAGAGTAGATTATTTTACTTGGAATGACTAACGTCCAGTCTATTTAAAGATATTGCTAGAAAGAACTGACTTGATGGCACCTGATAACAACAACTAGAGACAAATGATTTTTTAAGCCCATTATTTTGGCAAAATGGGTTGCATACCTTAAAATAACTGCCTACCAAAAACATGTAAGAAACCAGAAATCAAAAATACAAACATTATCAGCAAGACTTCATAGATGATATAGCAATCAGCTGTTAAAAAATCTACCTCGCCCTGTCAGAATCTCAAAAACTGTGGTCACCATGACATCACCAACCAGACAGTCCCAGGCTAGCTAATCAAACATCACTATACTATCACAATCTGTCAATTATTACATTCATAATAGTTTTTCGACTGCATGTTGTTGTTAAGTGCTGCTGAGTTGGTTCCAACTCATAGGGACTCTGTACAGGGTTTCTGAGGAGTGACCGGTGGGTTGTTTGAACCGCCAACCTATGGTTAGCAGTCCAGTGCTTATCCTACAGCACTACACCAGGACTTCTTCAACTGTATAGTCATATAAAAAATTATCTTAGAATAATCCCATTGTTTGGATACTTCCCAGAGGCTTAATGACCTACAGTAATATAATGAGCAACAAAATGGCTTTGTAATCATGTACGTTTCAGCCTCTCCAGACAAATACATCTTTAAAGATGCAAACTATACCATTCCACGTAGGTCTCAAAAGGGTCTTCAGCAAGTATACTATTACACAATACCATTATGCTCTCAGATTTTAAGGTTAAGATCCAGGTACCACATTATGTATACCGCACTACATAGAAAGTCATAGGCAAACACATATGAAAGACATTTGGGGTATTTAAGTCAACTCCAGCTACATTTTATAATGTAACAATCAAGTCTCTAGGACCCCAGTTCCTTACATTTTTAAGGCTTAAAGGTAAATATAGCTAGCTTTTTTGCACTTTTGTTTTGTCTTGAAGAGACTGTATCCCAAATACCTGTTTTGCAGCTTTCTTGGCCTCATGCTTCCGTTGATTTTTGAGGGCTGTTTTTGATAATGGCTTATCACTTCCAGACTGTGGTTTCATATTCTGAGGTGGTTCATCCTCATGCTATGGATAATGTAAGATAAATTCTTTTGACATGCAGTTCATATTTATTTAAAAAGACATACTACAGCAAGTTATGAAATTTTTGTTTATATAGGATCCATATCAGCAAAGAACACTTTAAAATTTCTATTAGGCGTGATATACTCCAAGAGTTAAGATGAATTTAATTAGGATCTTCCTATAAACTGACATATCTTTCAGTTATATGAGTGGAGAAATTTACTTCTTTTATTTTATCTAAACAATCGACTTTTTCTTAGTACTACCAATAACTCAAGATTCTTATGAAGCTAGATGCCAACAATTACTTCTCTTAAGGTCTTTTTGGATCTGTTGTAGGCTATGCACTAGAACACAAGGTAGAGATGAGTGGCTCAAGGAGGCATAAAAATATCTATTATTTGATAATATATCTAAGTTCTCTGAATGCCTAATTATTAAATAGTGCCTATACATTTCCATTTACTTAGAATAGTCCTAACTTACATCTGTTCTATGGTCCACTTTTTTAATAGTAACAATAATACTGTTGGGTTTTGTTGTATAGCAATCTTGTGCTTTAACATCATCACAGAAACTGACATTAATCAATACTCTGCACAGAGCTCTGAAAGGTTAACATTTTAAAAAGCAGGGCTAGCCCCTTAATGACAAGAATCTGACCAATAACTCTACAATACAAGCAGAGAACTGATAGCCTAAAGACTATAAATGCGTTTTATTTGCCCATCACGTTGTTTTACAAATGGAGACATTTCACATAAATGTTAAGATTTGTCTTGAAACAATCAAACTAGGCCTAAAATCCCCTCTGGAAGCATTTCTATATAGTGACTTGTTGTTGTTACGTGCCATCGTATCGATTCCGACCCATAGCGACCCTGTGTAGGGTTTCCAAGGAGCAGCTGGTGAGTTTGAACCACAGACCTTAAAGTTCAAATGGCTTTGCAGTCTGATGAATTAATCCACAGTGCCACACCTACACCTCTTAAATAGGCCTGTGTTCTCTTGGTCCCTATTCATTTTCTCCCACTCACTTGCCTGACAGGAATGAGGCTTGAGCTCCAATCTATAATTGGTATGTCACATTCAGTTGATCTTTCCTAGAGCTTTTAAAATGTGATTTTAAATTAGCCACACTGTCAAATTAATAATATGAGCTGTTCAGGCTCTTCAACAGCAGGTCCTATATGATTTCTACCCAAGTTTATAGTCTAATAAGGTTCTAATCAAACCAAGAATGTGAGAAAAAGTTCAAGGTTATTTTGTACATGGAAAATGTTTTCTTACTAAAGTAGTAAAACTTAACTTACCAGTTTAGAATTGGTGATTGGTTTATTTCTTAAAGCTGGGGGTCTATAAGCTGTTGCAACTTTAGGTTCCTCATTGGGTACTTCACTTGGAACTGCTTGGTAAGTTATTGTTTTAGCTGGAAATATTCCATCTAAAAATGGCTGCCAAGAAATCTGCCATATTTCTGCATTTGATGGCACATCATACTTGTGTAAGACAGAGCCTGTGTAATGCCAAATCTTATACCCATTATTAACACGTAACCTGGGAGCACATGTGGCTGTTAAAATATGCTCTCCATCTGCGCACCAAGCAAAATACGTAGAATCAGAAGCCACTGGTTTAGAAATAAGTTTGTAGTTTTTAACATCCCACACTTCCATTTGGCCTCTCAGATTTCCAAATCCAGCTAATACTAATATATGTCCATGAGGGCTATAGTAGGCTGCATTACGAGGACCAGTTCCAAAGTCAAATACAGGATCACATTTCAAGTTGAAAATTGTTGCTTTGGCAGGCATAAAACCATAAACAGCACAAAACTCAGAAGAACTCGAATTCCAAACTACATCATATATGGGTCCATTTTTTGCTAGAAAAAGAATATACAACCCAAGTCAGAAAAAAGAATTAAATGAATATAATTACTTACTAGCACAAGTTAAAAAGATATTACAATCAAACAGTAAATTACAAATCTAAAATTCTCAAAATGTTAAAACTAACACATTCTTAAGTGATATATATGGGGATTATATATAATCATACATGCTCTGGTAGTGCAGTGGTTAAGAATAGGGCTGTGAGCCGCAAGGCCAGCAGTTTGAAACTACCAGCTGTTCCGCGGGAAAAAGATGAGGCTTTCTGCTCCAGTAAAGATTTACAGCCTCGGAAACCCTATGCAGGGTCGCTATGCATCAGAACAGACTCTATGGCACATAACAACAACAACAACAATATAATCATAAGTTATTTAAGAACTTCCAATGATCTCAATTTCCTTTAAACATTCTAGCAAAGTAGGCTCACAGAAGCATTGTTGTTGTTAAGTGCCGTTGAGTCGGTTCTGACCCACAGTAATCCTTTAGAGGGTTTCAAAGGAGCGACTGGTGAGCTTGAACTGCCAACCTTGCAGTTCAAACTTACTATACAGTCCAGCACATTAACCCACAGCGCCACACCAAGACTCCTCACAGAAGCATAGGCTGTCATTATTAAAAGCATCTTTCTTGAATAAATACATAAGACAGCATTCTAGACTTGTCATTTCACTTAGATCTACTTTATTCTTTTTCAATTGCATTGTGTTCTGTTATAAACCTTGCTGCATAGTCTCCACAAGTGTACACAAATATATCTACACAAATGAAGCCACTAGGTTAAAGGGTATATTATTTATTTAATAATATATCATTAAAATGCCTTCCAAAGAAACTGTACTAATTCACACTCTTATCAACAGTTTCTGACAATGCAGTTTCCCCGAATCTCACCTATAGTGCATAGTATTATTGTTCGTCAACCTATTAAGTGAAAAAATTTTATCTGATTTTTATTTGTATTTTTCTTTAATAATCTAAGTGTCTGTCAATAAAAATGAGTTTCTTTTTCTGTGGAATTACCTTTACTGTCCTATGACTAATCTCCCTTGTAATTGATCTTTTACTTGATTAACCTGATATATTAAGAAATTTTACTTTTCTCTCATTGTCCAGAAATGTACTTAATTAATGGACTTTTTTCTTCAACTAGTGTAAAAATTTACCATTTTTACATATTCAAATTTAGAATTCTTTTCTTCGAAGACCTCTGAGGCTTCTGTCTTCAGTTTTTATCACTATGTGATTAGAAAAAAAATTCTTCCATATTATCCTCTAGTTATTATAGTTTTGTATAAACTTATTAGACTTGCCTGTTATTTATTTTGTGAAGAGGTAGAGAAATTATTTTTTTGTTCTAAGTGGTTACCCAGTTGTCTTCAAACTAGATATTAAATGATGAGTATTTGCCTGATTGATTAAAATGCTGACTTTATTATATACTAGTACCTATTTGTTGTTGGTAAGTGTCATCAAGTCGGTCCAACTTGAAGTACATATTAGTGCCTATTGAAGGAGCCCTAGCAGCACTATAGGATAACTACTGGACTGCTAACCACAAGATCCACTGTTCAAACCCACCAGTTGCTCCTCAGGACAAAGAGGAAGCTTTTTGTTCCTGCAAAGATTTTATTTGAAAAAAGCTTTCCTTTTGATGGACACAGTTCAGTCTGTACCACACAGTAGCAAACACAAAAAATAACAGACCCTATGAGAAGAAATGGAGTCTTGGTGTGGCACTGTGGGTTAATGCATTGGACTGAAAAGTCGTTTGAACTGCAAGGTCGGCAGTTCAAGCTCAACAATAGCTCCTAGGAAACCCTATACAAGGTTGCTATGGGTCAGAACCAACTTGACGGCACTTAACGAGAAGAAAACATTAAAATTCCTCTGAGAGACAAATAGTGCTCTTCATTATTTATAAAGATGTCATTTCTCTTTAAATTGATGTAAAAATTAAATAATGTTCTTGTACAAATATACATATGGTGTTTTTTTTTT